CTACCCATTATTTCATGTCCTCACACATAGCCCTTTCACCAAAAATCCAGTATTTCTGGCTATCACCTAAGACAAGAGCAGAATGTAGATTTTTTTTTTTTATATTCCTGCTAGGCTAAAAATTTAGTTTTTGGGGCGAGAAGGTTCAGGGCTTAAAGCCCAAACTTACTATGACATAAGTCCAGTGGATCTGAAAATGTGGCCCAGACACTCTTCCAATGAAGTGATTTATGAATTCCTCATTCGACCATCAAGAAGTTCTTGATGAAAGCTGACGCTCACTAGCAACTAGTCCATGCCAGGGATTTTGTGATGAGTAAACTAAAACTGCCCTCTTAGCCTCCTCCTCCAAGAAGAGCCTCTGATAACAAAGGTCATCTTCTATGTCAACATATAAAAAATGAAGGAAAAATATCTCAAGACCCCCCATTTTTAAGTTTTATATCTCAATAGACCAAAGGTTTCAAAACATATCTTGGGTCAGAAAAATTCTAAGTTTTATATCTTTTGACCCCCTAAGCTAACTTTATCCCCTTTAAACCTATTTTTTTGCCCCAAACAAATATAAGAAAGACATATCCTTTCTAAACACCATCTTTTTTCTCTCTTCATGTGATTTTCCCTTAAATCTGTCTCTCTACCTATTTTCCCACTCTCTCTTATCCCGTGTCTCTCAATCTCGCCCTCCCCCATTAGAGAGACAAAGAGGGTGAATGTTAGAGAGAGAGATATTTGGGAGAAATATATCACGTAACGAGAGGAAGGGTTTAGAATGAGCATGTCGTTTTTATATTTGTTAGGACTAAAAAAATAATTAAAAGTGGATGAAGTTAGTCAGGGGGTTAGGAGATATCTTTTGAATTTTTGGGTTTATTGAGATATGAAATCAAAAATAAGGGGTACGAGGATACTTCCCCAAAAATGAATGTGGACAAAAGACAACTCTTGTCCCTCTCTATACGGTCACTGCCAGAATCCTTGTCATCACATTAATCATGTGTAGTATCCATCTCTTTAAGGGATAGGGTCCCACTTTTGCCAATAGCTTTGGCCCTAATGACCTCACACCAAGATTCGCTTAGCCAAGCATGTGGTCAATTCCCAACTTCTCTTGATTTTAATTTATTTCCATCAATCTCAATAAAAAGACATGGTGCTAAAGCATAAGTTTGACATTCTGAAGTACAACCTGAAGGTCATGTTTGTAAGGTTTTCTTTGTCATTTCCTTCATAGGAATCTATCAAATAAAATATGGAAGTATGTAAATGTTTGGGTGTGCATTGCATCATAGGAAAACAAGAAGGGCACATGTGGATGAACACATGCACCCTCCAAATATGGCACAAAGCCTTTCTTTTTTTTTTAGGTGTTGTTTTTCTTTTTTTTTCTTTTGGGGGTGGGTGGCATGATATTTCTTCCATGGTCTATAAACCACATACCTATGGTCAAATTCCACAGCGAAGGCTGATCATCCAGACAGTTGGCGACAAACATTCTATAAGCCAAAATGCCAGTCTATCCGAAACCACATGAAATCACCCTCAAACCACAAGGACTAGGAATCTTCAAAAATAGGGCAGGAGACGACCACAAGCAAATGTTCATGAGATTTAGACGACCAAGCGACCTGGTCACATAATAGGATGAAATTTCGAGGATCCTCAAGATATAGCTAAGGGGACCTCTCCAACAATTTCTGTAAGATTTGGATCTCAGGGTAGTATAAAAGTCATCCAACCCAGCATTTGAGCCAGACCTTCGTTAATTTGAACCGGAAAACCATCTTTTAAAGGGACCCCTACCATACAAAAGGAAGTCATATCAAATGACCTCTGTTCAAGATGAAACTTGCTAAGTTTATAACCTAAGAGAATTTCAAGCCTACAATAAAAAATTCTTTGGGCCTCATTTGACCCAAATTTCAAAGAGGCAAAGCAAGCATAAACCACTAGCAGTTTAACAAACTTGCTATCTACAGCAAAGCCAATTAACCTCCAGACCACTGGTTCTAATTTTCTCCCTCATCCTTGGGTGTTTTTTAGCTGAAATTTGATACCATGATCCTCTTTCATTGCTCTACAAACCTTAGCTACCGGGATCTTCTAAGGAGGGGTTCACTTCCGCTCTAGAAGCTCGATCCCGTGCTTTGAAATACAGGATCTCGATTCTAGGCAATTCCTTGATAATTGGGATCTCGATTCATGAAATCATGGAACTCAATCCCATGTAATGGGATCCAGATCCCTATGCCTAACATCAAGGTTTCACAATTAAGCGGAACGACGATTTCACCAACTTGGAATCAAGTATCCTCTCCTTTGAGATTGAGTTTCACGAGCACGTATGTGGTTTGTATACAATGGACTGTGGAGTTTAGATCTCCAATTTTTTCTGGCCTACACACTTTCTGAAAACCATGATTTCCTACATATTTTGTAATTCACAACTTTACACACCTTGTGAATTGTAACTTTGTCCAGTTTCAAAGAAAGGCAACAATAGTGAGAAAAGACAAAGAAGGAAGTAGTTGGAAAGCGATACAAAAGTTAGCCACTGCGTTCTAGTGAGGAATGAGGTAGCAATCAATACGCTCCACTACATTGGGCTAGTTCATTGGGTCTTGTCCACCTCCCGAAGTACTTCTATCACTTAAATGTTGGTCAACCAAATCAAGCCACTCATGGAGTTGCCTTATGGGTGATGGAATAACGTGTATACCTTGAAAATGTGAGGTCTCTCACGTGTATATGTCATTCAGCCCCTATCAATCCTCGACAGAGGAAATCTATTGCGAATTATATAAGGCAATGTCTCTCCTTTTTACTTACTGTTCAATAAAATTTACTCTCAAATTACAATGCAGTGCATAAGTGAACTTCGAGAGGATCCTAAACACAGCTGTGCACAATCCCGTTCAGTAAAGAATTCGTTCCTTTGCAAATATGGAATGTGCTCCCTAATAGTCAGGTATCTTGAACCCTATATCTGACCATGTATAGACCTCATTCCCCCGACCATAGATCTTCGAGCCTACCTCGCTTAACACACCCACTCCCAATCCTGAAGCTCCTGTCGCTCCCATTCCCGATAGCTATGCTAAAAACTCATGTAAACATCGGAATGAATTGTGTCGAGATTAAGAGAGAATGAAGATCCAAGTCAAGGGTTGCAAAGGGGTCTGCTGCACAAGTAGTTAGGTATGGTTATTTCGAAACTCTAACATCCACAAGAATTTTATAAGTGGGATTCAAACCATAAGGTACCCAACTCAATCACCCATCATCTCATAAAGAAATATTGGTGCAAAGCCACATCAGATGCATTCAATTGGATGAACAAATTGACAGATAGCCGACCCCAAATAATTGGATAAGGCTTGGATGATGATGATGATGATCATGCCAAGCCTACCACCAGACTGCCAGTGTTTGAACTGAGGTCTGGCCCATAAAGCATCTAGGGCAAGGTTGTCATATTTTCAGAGACTTTGCTCTCAAAACTTGTCGTCCAAGTTTCCAAGGAGGGGGTAACCCTAATTTGCTTGTCCTAGGTATATAATACCCCATTGTCTTAAGCAAAGGGGGATGAGGATATCGTTAGAGAGGCTTTTCACCAAAAAAACTGCTGAAAAAACTTGGAGGGCAGAGAGAGAAAACTCATCTCAAGAGAGATAATTCCAAGAGAAAGTGGGAGAAATATGATCAGGCTTTGCCTAAAGCTTCCATTGTGATTCTTCATTGAGACTTGGGAGATTGCATTTTAGTTATGAAGAAGGCCAATATCCTAGCCCCTTTTCGAAGAGTGAAGGAGAGGGTGAATAATGCAATAGAGGTACAACCCCACCTCGCAATCACATATGCAAGGTCATACGCAGTGCTTCTCAGCTTGGAACTTTGTACTTTTTGCTGTAGTTTTAGGACTGATTTTTTAGTGTTCATGAAAGTCCACAAATTGGATGTAACCCAAACAGGTTGCTCAGAAGCGCCCAGAACTCTTCCCCCAACCCATAAATTTATATAAATTCTTGTGATTTGACAGTAAATTTCATGTGTTTCTATGGTTTTATGCGTTTGAAATCATATTTCTTGAAAATACTCCACATAAATCAATCTCCGCTGATTTGGTTCTCCAGTGATTTGGTACATGTTTACAGATTTATTTTTTTTCATATAATCTTTCCAATGTTACCCCGACACACTACATCGGGCTTGATCGTGTATCTACACATGTAGGAACATGGACATGTGTCGATACACTGCAAGTGAATAAAAAATTCAGAAGAGCTCACACAATCTATCATCCCGTCATCTTATATGTTATAGAACGATAAATAACATTATATATATTCAATAAATTTTTTTATTCAAAATAGAACTTGTATGGGGGTGTCCAGCTGTATTAGCTTTTTATGGTAGAGTACGGAACACTTTAGATACGCACTTGAATGTTAACACTTTAGACACATGCACAACACTCATGTCAGTATCCATGTAATGCTGCATTTCAGCCCTTCTAGCACAAGGTACCTTGATTATGTACGCTAACAGTCTAACAACAATTAAATACAAATGTGCAATTATACTCATAATACATCCACACCACATACACATGCACATGCTCATGCACACACGCATGCACACATTTGTCGGCAACCTCAATCACCAAGGTTGCCTTTATCTTTGATACAACTTGTAAATAACAATTATGTCCAATATATCATGCATTTAAAATCTGTCACATGGCACCTAACAAGATTAAAATTAGCTAAGAAATGTTTTCCCAAAGAAAGATTTACATGCTCTAGCTTGTTTATAGATAAGTTCTTAGAGAAGCACAAGCATGGGAAGTGAATGCTACTTGCTTCTTTGAGAAGACATTTTTCTAGAAGCATTCTAAGATGATATTCACCAGAAAAAGGTTCAAACTGGTGATACAAAGCAATTAGATAACAGATGTTTGCATTCCCAAGGAAAAAATATCACCACACAAAGGAACTTACCTAGTGTGAGAGTCAATTGTATCCACATCATCTACAGCAAATGGACAGGTAAACTCATAATCATCAAGGTCATCTTGGAGAGACAATCTACTTGAGCTTCTTGAAAACCCAAACCGTGGCGAGCTACTAGAAGAGATCAACCCCGAAAATCTTCCAGAGTCCTCCCTACTATCTCTGAAAACCTAAGAAAAAGGAAGGAGAAACCCACCATCACTAGAACTAAGAACAAGTCATGCTTATCATTACTCGAGTAAATATAATAAAAAATAAAAACTGCAGAATGGGCTGTACTGAAAGGGTTACAATGGTAGAGGATATGAAATACCTTTTGGCCCAAGTTTGTTTGCAGGCTGGTACTGCCTATGTACGTTTCTCCAGATTTTAAGGCATCATTCTTCCTGAAAGAATTACCTCTAGATGGGGATGGGGATTCTTGAGAACCAGAAACATGAGTAGCATGGCCTCGAGAACTATCATCACGATTTGAGTAATCCGGCCTCTTACTTTTAGGTGATGGAGGAGGAAGTAAAAGTTTGTTTGGGTCAGAGTTATTAGGTGAGACACATCCAGGATTCCTACCTAATGGTATACTCACAGGAGAACTCCCAAAACGAGGGCGATTAAGCAAGGGGTTGCAACTCGGTGAATTTGTTGGTGAAGGAGAAGATGATGGTGAGAATGGAGGTGTTAGCCACAACTCCTCAGAACTTGTACCTTTCTTTTGAGATGAAGGTCTATAACTAATTGGGGCAGATTGATCGTGGTTATGGTGGCCACAAGGAGGAACACGATGGCCATGGACATTGGATGTTGAAGCATGAGAATCTGATAAGGTAGAATAAGGAATTGAATAATTAGGATACAATGGGGGAGAAGGCGAGTATGTAGGAGGACCACACCGAGAAAGACCACTACTCCAGCTATGTGGACGTTGAAATGGTGAAGAGTATGATGATCTAATCCCTTGAGAAGGAAAGGAAGTGGCCTGATACCCCTTATCAACAGATTTAGGAAGTGACCCACACGGAAATCTCTTTAGAGGGTCAGCAGCTGGACTTCCAACATAGTCTACTATAATAGGTGGCAATAGTGATGTAGAGTCCTCAATGTTTAAATGTGGTAAAACAGTGCAATATGAAACGGATAAAGAAAGCCTGCCAAAGGCTGTATCCACAGGTGTAAACCTGAAATTTGTCATCTCCCTTTCTTCCATGCGAGAGAAAGGTTCCACAAATGATGAAACACGGTAACTAATACCAAAGTTGTAGCTCTGGTTCGATGAATTAAGCTTTCGGAAGAGTTTATAAGCTGGCAAGAGTCTTGAGGTTACATAGAGGGAGCGTAAGAGCAAGATCAATCTTTTATACATCCTAGTAGAAGCAGTAGGATCATCACTGGAATGAGAAACTGTCTCCCCAAATCCCAAACTTCCACGGCCTTTACTAGAAAGGTGGTCTCTTGTGCTTGACTTTAGGGACTCGTATTGCATTACCCATCTCTCTAAAACCTTTACTGAGGTTTCTTTGGATGATGAGTTGAAGTGTTCCTCACCAACATTCCAGTAGCTTGTCGATTGGGCACTTGTGAATGTATCGCTAAAGGAATGTAGTTTCATAGGGGACCCAATTTCTTTGTCAGAACCTTGAGCCTTGGAACTGTCTTCTTGCACAAGAACCACATCAATCACCAAGGGATCCATGGCATTCTTATGCCATACATTAAGAATCTCTGAAGCTGCAGAACATTCCCCTATAGCTAACATGAACCACTTATCTTTCTTTCTAACACGGGATACAGATGACGATGATAACCCACCTTGCTCCGTCCTGTGGGTTTCCGAACATAAGAAAGGTACCCTTGACTCTAATATGACATGCAAGCCCTTCAAGAAAAATTCAGAAATGATCTGCTCGGTCCTGGCTGATTCAAAATGGGAAGAACTTGGCGAAGCCATAATTTGATAAAAAATGACAGTTTTTTCAGGGGAGGCAAACAAATCCAATAGTCAAACAGATGCTATATTTCTCATGGATTCAAATGTAAGAATAATACTCGTTCATGGATCTTCAATTACATTTCACCAGTCCTATTTTGAATGTAACTGCAACATTATTATGATCATTTTGCCCCCCGAAATACGCCAATCCTCAACTGCATTATGCAGGTCACATGGAATTGTCATTGGTTCCTTCCATGCCATTTCTGTAAGAGCAAATAAAAAACCAGTTGCAATAATAATTATGGAAAGTCATCAAAAGGAAGAAGAAAATGATATAGATTCAGTAGAGGAAGAAAGATGATGATTTCTCCTCACCAGGAAAAGTCAACCACGATTTGTCTCAGAGACACATTAAAAATTCCACAGTAAATATCAACTGATTTAAAGATGTAAACATCAAAGGGTAAATTTACCATCATCGCAATACCCATCAACAATCCACCTGAAAACCCAAACAATTAAAAGTCAAACATCATGATACAAATGACTCAAATCCAACAAGAGCCTTATCCAATCATGTTTCTGATCCAAAATGACCATGATGACAGAAAGGAAACCAAAGAGAGAGGAAAATGTCCACCTATAAACCTAATAAACCAATAAATTTCTTCTTCCTTAGTCCATTTTCAAATTTGTAAAATCCGAACTCCATCTCAGAAGCTATCCCATTCTGTTCACAAAAGGAACAAAACAAACCAGTTAATACTATTCACTATTCAGGAACCACTCAAAACAAGAGGCATCTGTGGTGTACTGACCGCTAAAGATCCCAAACACAAATAAAAATTTAGTAAAAATGAGAAAGAGAAAGTAACCAAAAGCCACAATCAAACAACCAATGCCACAAAAGAACCAGTCACATGAAAAACAACATAAAACAAAATAAAAACCCGAAGATCATAGCTCTGACTGAATTATTTTTCAACATTTACTAAAAAAGAAAAAAGGAATCAAATTGTAATCAAAGAAAGAAGAGAGAACCACAGCCTGAGAACAAATTTACCCTGGGATTATTAACCATATTTGTCATAATTCAACCGATACTTTCTAAAATTATAAAGAACTACACATGGAAATGAACAAGGATGCCAGGGATTAATTCCTTAAAAGTATAATATAGCTTAGTGAAGATAAACGAAATACAAAATCCAAAGCCAAAACCATCAATTTCACCAGAATCATTTTAAAAAACCTAAAAACAAAAAATCCAACAGCGTAGGCCATATTTTGATACGTGACGTTCATCATAGAAGTCACCAATAAAAAATAAAAATAAGAAATTACTTGGGGAAAAAAATGTTTAACAGACTTGATCCTTCTGATCTCGGAGGGAAAAGCCCCGAATTTCAAAAACTCGGAAAAGCCTCAAACAAATCACGAACTTTCTATCCCAAAAAACGTCTACAAAAAAAATGAAAGCACATTGAATCACAGAAAGTTTTGAAGTCCCCCATGTAACAATGGATCAACTTCACCAACAAAAATGGAGAAAAGACCACCTAGCCTAAATCAAATAAAATCTTTCATTCCACTGGAATCCCAACAAATAAACTAAAAGGATTCCCATAGTTAGATACCCTTACCTCCACAAAACGATAACTTTTGAGAGAGAGAGACGTGAGCCTCACTCCACGGGGAAACAGCAAATGCAAATAAGGGAGAGCAGATTATTCAAAAAAGGGTGCGGTTTGTATAGAGCGTAGGTTATAAAGAATCAAATGAGAGCCTACCTTCAAATAGTGATGACAAACGTGGTTTCAATATTGACAATCAACGTGCTAGACTTAAAATATATTTTTATATTTATTTATAAAGTTTAGAATTTCAAAAATAGTGGAGATCGACGTATCTACGAAAGCTTGAAAATTGATGGTCAAAAAATGTATTACAAAAAACACTATTTTCAAAACTTGCAATGCATTTTTTTTCTCATGTCTATATATCTTAATGTGGAGATGATCAATTTGAAGATATTTACGAATCAAAACAACCTTTTTTAATAAAATTTTTGAGATAAGCTCAAATTTGATTGTTTAGAGCCTCGGCTCTATATAAACTTTTCCCTTCAAAAATTGAATTTAATGTGTTGTTTTAGAGAGAGAACAAATAATTAATTTGAAAATGTTCTCTCTCAATGATTGATTACGGGAGGGAGGGGCGAGGGGACTCATCACCCTTCCTAAGGCATGATGGGCAGCGGGGCGGAACCGCATATTAAAATCCTTTTCTTAAACCAAAAAACATCCCTGAGTTCTATTCTAATGACAAAAATATTCCAACAAATTTAGGATTATCGAAAAATGCCCTCGTACAATTTAATAATAAATGGAAAAAGTTCATATAGAGCCAAGACTCTAAACAATCATATTAGAGCCTATCTCAAAAATTTCACTAGAACAGGTTGTTTTAAAGCCTAAATATCCTCAAATTGATCATCTCAACATCAAGATGCATGGACATGAGAAAAAAACATGGATTTAAGTTTTGGAAATGAAAAATGATTTTATGCAACGGTTGTATAATAATATAATGCCACAACCTTCAAAAATCATGTTAGTGCCATTTATTTGATCCCAATTTTTAAATGTACACTCTTTTCATTCCATTGAACAAACACAATAAAATAAAATTTGAAAATGCTCCCTAGAAAGTGTAATTTTAGCCCAATCAACATAAACCGTCCATTTTGTTAAGGTGCTTAGATCTAGGGCTTAGAAGGATTTTTCTCTTTTTAAAATTTGTTAGATAGCGTTTTTATCATTAGATAAACAAAGTTGAAAAAGTCAAAAAAGGTTTTGAGTTCGTAAAGACTTAGATCTTGAAATTGACCAAATGGATGGTCTAGATTCATTCTTGGAGGCGACTTATTTAACCATATCTATGGTACAAATTTAATTTTTTGTATTTTGGAAATCGACCATTGCAATAAGGAGAAGGTATGTGTAATATTTTGGGTGATACAAATGGGTTACAAACATGGTTTTCTAGAAGTAGTTGCATGTATTACCATACAACCGTGCATGAAATCATTCCCCATATATATATATATATATATATATATATATATACTACAACAACGTAACGACAACAAATAATAGTACTTAGTACTACTATCTTGTAGTCGGTCGGTCGTACCTAAACTTAACTTTCGTACTATGACGTAGTACGACTACTACT